ATCCCAGGGATTGCATGTTCTTCTCCCAGAAGGTTTTTCCTTGAATGTGAGCCCATAACATATGATAAAAATACCTTCATCTTATGTGCAGTTCCAACAAAGATCACAGTCAGATACAACCATCCTCTACAATCGAACAAGGGTGAAATTTGTTCTATGCACAAAATTATGATTGATCATTTGGTTTGTCACCAATTAAGATGCTTTGTGAAGTGTTTTCCAGACACAATCCCATTCTTCGGTTTCCAAGGATGTACCTTAGTCAGTTTCATAAATTCTTTGAACAGCATTTCAGTTTTTTTCCTGATGGGTTGTTCATTAATTTGTTTAATTAAGAGGAAATCTTGTCCTTCTGTCTGACAGTGTCTGTTGTGTGCTGGTGTTATGCGCAATACATGAATGGCTTATGTGCAGTAGGCTACTGTTGTGTTTTTATGGTGTATACTTCATTTCTTCTGGACTGTTATTGTAATGCAGCAATACTTGTGCAACTCCTGAGCCCAGGACAGATTTTCCTATGGGGGTAATTTAGTTTATCGCATTGCATCGTATCGCATTGCATCGTATCGCATCGTATCGCATCGTATCGTATCGCATCGTATCGCATCGCATCGCATCGCATTGCATCGTATCATATTGTATCGTACCGTACTGTACTGTATCATATCGTATGGAATCGTATCATACTGTAACGTGATGTATTGGATCGTATCGGATAGTATCAGTGGCACGCCCAAGGGGAGGGCCGTGCCCCCCATAATACATTTGCTGGCCAATGGCCGACATTACTGCCTTTAAGGACTGTGGCGTGCTGAATTTTTCAGCTAGAGTGAAGGTAGTGGTATCTTAACTGAAACTAAACAACCATGTTGGCAAAACTTGTCGGGAAGAGGGCTGAACAATGCTCCAAAGTTAGGCTAAATTTTGGCAAGAGAAAAACTGCAAGGGGTCACTTGAATGAAAATTGGTTCTATGGGTACCCACAAGTCTTCCCTAAACTTGAAAAGGCTTGTTCCCAGTAAATGTTTAATGCACGCCTTCATATTAAAGCATTTTTTTTGTCTTTTAAAGAGAAAGGACAATTTGCCCTAAAGAACGATGAACTGCCTGACATGTACAGTATATACAGATACGTATCACACTAAAACAGGATTGTTGTGGAACTCAAAGTATTACCTGTATCTGTATTAATCTATGCACATCAGATGATTACTAACATTAACTGTAAAATACGAAACCAAAGTATATTAGTATTCCTTAATTCTCATACTGACTGTGTCATTTCAAATACAATCTGGCGCTTGAAACTGTTACTTGGGGCAAACACTCATCTAGAGCTTCCAGGGCACAATTTAGGTTTTCCAGGATAGCAAAGGAATTACCAGCCCTACTATCCCTATGATTGGCTGGTACTCATTGCCTTTGTTGGTTGGATTGGTTTAGTTTAGGCAAGAGAAGGGAAATTGGGCAGTGTTAGGGTGAGAATGTCAGGGTCGTTCTTTGTTACCGTATGAAGTGTAAATTTGCTTTTAGGGCTTGGCTACCTGTAAATATTTTGTACTATACATATCAGTAGAGTAAGTGTTCAGCTGCCAGGCTAAAGGTAAGGGATGTGGGCCGTCCTGTAGCCTTGCTGTCCCGGCACTGACCTTTCATATTCTGGGAGCTGCCCATTGGTCAGACAGCCCATTGTTCCGACCATCTTAAACCCATTGTTCCGAAGTCCGTTCCGAAATCATCATGATGCCCTGTGGTAAAGGTCTGGTTAGGTTTAGGCACAAAAACCACTTGGTTAGGGTCAGGAAAAGATCATGGTGTGGGTTAAAATGAAAAAGAAAGTGACAAACACATAAGCCGTGAGCCTGCTTCACCTCAAGCCTGTCCCAGCTGACCCAGAGCCAGTCGCGGTGCACCATCAAGGTAGAAATACGCCCGCTGGGAGCCGTTCAGCACTGCGGACCGTCGGACTAATGGGATGTTGGACCAATGGGCTGTCGGACCAATGACATGGGCCCCCGTAATCCAACGCTGCTTAGTGTCAGTACTCCATTGACAGTTTCTTTGTTGACATTGAACACGCAGACAATAACTTCAAACAAAACTATCTAAGAATAAAGTGTAAATCAACTGTCCATCTTCCTCACTGCAGTCAGACACATCTCTCGTCAACTTCTGTCCTTCACCTGGTCCGAATGGTCTCTCTTAATTGCTTCGGTTCGCCCCCCTTTCAAACTAACAGGCTCTACACCTACATGTAGATCTTGTTGTTGTAGATCGTTGTTTCAGCAGTCAAGAATGCCAGTAGATGCCTATGTAAGAATCACTGGGGTTGTATCATTATATGGATATATTTTAAAGTATCAAATATTGTACCCACAAGCTTAAGCAATCAATTTAATTACAATTTTGTATTACTACTGACCTCCATTTAGATCTTGGAATAAGAGTTGTTACCAGCACCGACTTCACAAACTTTTCACAGCGGTAAAATAAGAGGTAATTTTGATATTTTAGCAGAATAATTGGCCAAAACTTTAAAGCACAGTTTTATCTGAGTCTAAGAGAAAGTCTCAGTTATGTGTCAGATGAATTGGGGTAAAAATGCACAGCTCCTCTCTAAGTGGCTCAGTTGGCAGAGAAGTTGTTATTCAACACTAAACAATCCCACTGTCAATAAGTGTTGATTTGACGAGGACAGGTGTTGATTGGAGAGTTGTCTGTTCACACGTGGAATTTATATAAATTCAAGAAAAGTGTTCAGAGGTGCTGAAATGAGTAAATGTGACGGGTGTGGATATAAATAGGCACTAGAATAGGGTTGATTTGAGTGCTCCAACTTAAATTAACACTGATTTTCTCTGAAAATAAGCTGAAAATATGTATTTACTAAGCAATCTGTGATGATTATGATGATGCACATGATGCTATATACTTTGATGTATGGTGTAAATTTCAAACAGGAGAAAGTTGGTAGATATTATTATTAACTGCTCCTTTTCAGCTGTAAAATCATGAAAATAAAAGGACTAAAAACAATGCTGATTCCCCTGTCAAACTACAGACACACTCAGCACACATTTACTTCATTGTTTTTTGTGCTCCAGACTCAACTGAATGTACTTTGCACTGTGTTTTGTACAATTCTCCCGTGCTGAGCTTGTTTTAATTTAGTTTCTTATTCACTTATGTTCTCAGTTTTTCCTTCTTTGTTTCCTTTGGAGTGAGCTCCGCTAGCTTTTTAATTTCACTTTCAGTCTTTTAATTTTTTTTTTTGCTTCTCGCTGTGATTCCTCATTTTACTTGCATTATGCAGCTAAACTAAATCAAATGAGAAAAATAGCAAAAGCACACGAACGCACACACATATACAGAGTGTGGTTGTTTTCCTGATCCTTCTCATGCCTCTCCAATGCAGTGTCCCCTTCAACAGTGCCAGCTCCATCATTGCCCTTTTAACGAGGTGATATCCAGACACATGGGAGCAGATGTTGCAAAGAAAACACATTGTGACGTGATTGTGATCGATGCGCACCTCCCACCATATCCACTGCATAATTTGGCGGATGGCATCAGGATAACAACCTGCATTATGTGGAGACAGCTGTCGCCATGGTGCCCGGGCAGCCATTGCATTGGCTCCCGCCTTATTTCAGGCAGAGGCGGGGAAGCCAATTAGGGTGATTTACAGCCTGCTTGTGTCGTCACCACCTTGAAACCTGTGTCTCGGTCCAGCTGAATGAAATACGTGGCTACCTGGGTGGCAATAAGGAGGGCAGACTGAAGGGAGTTGTTTATTGCTGAAGTGTATTGTTACTCTGCTCTTAATAAGAGCTTGTTCTTTAAGTTAAGTTAATGGATTTTTGGGGATATAAGGACTGTGTTGCTGCCTACAAAAGCATGTAATATACTATATGAATATTAATTGTATTATATTAAAAAATGTACCTGCCTGAGGATATATATTTATATATCATCCTTGTGTTGATCCTTTAACTGTTTTTGATTCATGTCACAGTTTTACATATCTTCTACAGGCCATGCATAATGCACCACAGCCAGAGACAGTGCATTTTCATATGTCTCATTGTTTTGCATAATTATAAGCCCAAGTTCCGCAAACATTTGTTACCTATGTGTCATTATTATGCCACCCCAGAGTCCTTTGTAAATTCCTTTGAAACAAACACGCATTACCAATGAGGATAGCACCATCTGATTCTAAATGTGAGAACCTGAACGATGTAAATGAGCAGCGGCAGCAGGTTTGAAGGTTGCTGCAGTAATGAATCCGATACACTGCATTTGATGAAATGGTGAGGCAGATGGAAACCAGGAGATGGCAAGACCGTGTGAAATACAGGAAGAGGACTTGTGATTGACTGTCACTACTCATCTGAGCGAGCTTTGAAGTGTAAAATGATGATGGGATACAGTTTGAATGTATTTGCACTTCTATCGACAGCTTGAGAGGTCACTGGAACGCCACATCAAGGTTCAGTCAAAATACAGACGCCTGTGCGGCTATAACATTAACAGAATGTGGTGTAGCATCAGACTGACAGTCTTTGTTGTTGTGGCCAGAGGAAGACTTGTTAGCGAGAGTGTCGGAACTTACAGTTGCATTCACAAATGATAGACATGTGGTTATAGTCAAGCACTGCAGTGCTCATTTAATAAGTCTGCTTGTGAAGCTTTACCACAGTTGTAAGCAATTCTGAGTTTATGTACAAGATAATCTAAGAAAGATACAAAAACGCAGTCACACTTGTGGGATAAATAAGGATGTCATGATTATAAATAACATAAATTAACCAGATGGAAGTTGCTGATGGGTGTATCAAAAGAATTTCCCTTTTTCTTCTTCTTTTCTTGGTAGATTGAGAAATGAAGGAGAAACACCCCAGCCCAGGAGGTGGCGGTGGCTGAAGACATTGGGCTGTTAGGTCCTCGACACCAGAAGAAGAAGTCGTCGCTCGCTAATGACGTAGTTTCCCCGCGTCATTCAACTCAAACTACTGAGCTCGCCTGGAGCTTGCGAGTAAACAGCTTTCTGGAGAAGTACCGGTGTGTTTAAGTTAAAAATGCTCAAAAAGAAATCAAGTAGCGCTGAAAAGAAACGGAAACACTCGCAGTCAGAAGAAAGACACGACAGCAACAAGCGAAGAAGTGCGGAAGCTAACTTGGAGGTGAGATATTCAAGCTAGCGTCGTGCTAACGTCTTGTTTTGTTTAGACTGCAGTAACGTTTTATCCGTGCTGCCGTAGTTAGGTTTGTTTGTAGACCTGTAGGAGACGAAACAAAGAGGTTTACCTGAAGTAAATTCCTTTAACAAGCACGTTTGAATGTTGTGCTTAACTTGGGCGAGCTGTGGTAGTAACGCTACATTTGTTTGAGTTAATTAGCTTGAAAGTTTTCAGCTGTTCATTCGATGTCAGTGTTTTTTCTTTATTTGCTACGTCATAACATGCACGCTTTGATTGTAATGAAACCAAATAGCCTTATTATTTTGGGACTAACATCCCCATAAAGTAATATGCTCGTTAGCTTCTTGTTTTGTTATCTCTAGAGGGTTTAGGTAGCTGTTTAAATTAATATAGGCTATGGTATTGTCATACTTTTGGTTTCTGTAGCCTGCTATTGAAGATGTTGTAGATAAACAGGGTGTCTACATGTCCTTAAAAAATAATTTTTCTTAATATAAGACCTTAAAAAGTTTTGGAATCGATGGGTCTTAAATATTTTCATTCACAATGACTGTTTACAATCATTGGACAGACTGAAGAGTTGCAATAATAAATAGCATTCATGACCGTGATGTGATTTTTTTTTTTCTTTTTACATTAAATACATTCAACTTAAACTCACGCAATTGCTGTCAATTTTCCTTGCTGTTCATTTTGAGCTGAAATCAGTGTTTACTTTGAAAGTACTTACATGTGTGTGTCACACACACATACACACACACACACATGTTTCTGTAATGTGTATTTCTATTGCAGGTTTGGTCTTTAATTTCATATAAGGTTGTCTTAAATTTAAGTTGGTTATGTCTGTATACACCCTAACAAGTCAAACATGGAGCAAAAAAAAAATCATCAGACTTTGGCACAATCGTTTTTGCCCAATAATGTTACCAAGGAATTACAGTAAACTGGATGTTTGATTTATCGCACTACAAAAGCTTAAATTTAAAGAAAAAAATCAAGGGGTTTGCCCAAGGATTGAGAATTTCACATCACGTTCAAATGAAAAATATAACAGGCGTGAAATTCAAGTAGGTAAAACTGATTTAAACATTAATATGGCATGGACAAAATGCTAAAAACACCATAGTGTAACAGTTCAGTAGCGTCACAAACTACATCCTCTATGTGAACTGAACATGATTAATTAAAGGGCATAGGACTTGTTGGAGGGCTGTTGTATTACTGTATTAGTTTCAGCTTGATGTAACCACTAGTCAACGAAGTTTGCAGCTGTGTGATCTGCATATTCTTTTCCATTTTAAGTACTTGGTAACACAAATCAGTCTACGGGGAAACAGTTGAAGGGTTTTTAAGTCCACTTAAGGCCATTTTTACAATTTAATGAACACAAAGAAGTAAAACTGGTTTGACACAGAATGCAAGTCTACACACTGTTTGATTTATTATCATGTAATATTATCACACAAAAAAAAGAAAAAGAAAGAAAAAGCAGAATCTGAAAAACCTTAAACACTAAATTTTAACCTTTTTATTACAGTTTCCAAAACCTTTATATCCTTCATTTTGCTTACTCTTACATCTTTCCTCAAGAACTCTAGACACTGTCTCAGTAACATGTTGGTTTTCCAAAGCAGGACTCAAAGGATGAGCTCGCTGACGCAGAGCTGGACAGGATTGGCAGTGACATTGAGGAGGGGGGACTTGACCTCAACCTGCTGTTCAAGCCCATCACTGCTTATGCCGCTGACAGGCGGGAGATGCTGGAGCAGTGTCTGCGTGTGCTGGGGGAGAAGAAGCTACGGAGAATGCTGCCTGATGAACTCAAGGTGATTGTGTGAGCATGAACGCAACATATTATATGATTTTGAACTCATGCTCTCAGTATGGTATGTATGGAAATGCTGTCAGTGTTTTAAAATTTGAGACTTGTGTGTTTTCATTTATAAATAAAGTATGTGTCAAGTACTGATCAAAAGGCATTTGTGGAGCAGCGGACAAAGGCTTAACCGGTCCAAGGAATAAGCCTCATTTATCAACAGTTGCGATGTAGCTTTGGACTTCCTTACATGTTGTCTTCAAGATGTCTGTCCACGGATAACTGAGGCAAATGCAGTTTGCTGTCACAGTGCATTTTACTGGCAGTAGTTTGTGGTTTTAAGAACCACATTTTCTGCTTTGCCAAGTGTTGTCTTCCAACATTTATGGCCATATTTTGTACTGTTGGCTACATTACAACAGCACCAGGCTTTGCTGAAAAAGCAACAGGACTTTGAGCAATAGTGATCATTGCATGAAAAGGTTTGTTCCATCTTTTTGTAAGCACACTGTATTAAATGTCATTGCATCTGATTCAGAAGTCACCTTATATACATTTTAGTTTTCCACATCACTTAAAAAAATCACTTTAAGTTAGACAGGGAATTGCTGTTAGTTATTTAACATACTCTGTGTTTAGTTGCTGGTTATGTTTTTTTATCTATAGCTATAAATTAGCTATGGAGATGTATCATAAAGAAAATGAAGTTAAAAACATACACAGATTTGTGTCGACTCTAGACATTTTTGAACAGATAGTGATAACAGTTATGTAAAACAGATAAAGATGTCAGACTGTAGACTTCTGCTACTTGCTTGGGAGGCTATCAAAGCAGCCCATTGTCAAAGATACTATTAAACACATTGTCATTCACAGGACTTTAGTTTAGAGGAAATCAAAAAAATGTGCTGGGAGCAACTGGAGCCGATCTCAGAGAAAAATCTTTTACAGATCCTAGCAGGTAAGTTTGACAGCTACATACTTTGTGGAACGAAACAATCTTTAAATGGTAGTTCATTCCAGAATTAAAAATACATATTTTTTCTTTTACCTGTAGTGCTATTTATTAGTCCAGATTTTTTTTGTGTGTGAGTTGCCGATTGTTTCAGATAATAAAGATGTCTGTCTTTGCTTGAATGCAATGGAACTAGATGGCACTACATTGAAAAACTCAACAGCAATGTCTTCTTCCAGATATATGACCTAGTTACTCAAGATAATCCACAGACCTTGTTGTGAACAGTTTCATGTAGGAACTATTTTCTTTCTACTGAACAACACCCACCAACTGTATCACCGCACAGAAGGAAGTGTGCATCGACTGTTGGCTCAACTAGCACCACTAAGTTAGCTAAAGTTAGAGGAGGACACCATTGATGTTTACATCTCGTACTGTCACGAGCACCAGCCTCTCCTCAATGAGTAGATTCATGTGTCCTTCTGCGTGGTGATACAGTCGGCAGGTGTAGTTCAGTGATAGGAAAATAGTTCCTACATAAAACTGTTCACAACAAGGTCTGTGGATTATCTTGAGTAACACTCATGATTTCTGTAAAGAGACTTTGCTGTTGAGTTTTGAGCCTCACAAGCCGAGTGCCATCTACTTACAACATATTCGAGGTAAGGCCGACATCTCTAACATTCGGCAACTCACACCAAAACAATCTAGATTGATAAAAAGCACTGCAAGTAAGAAAATATATGTATTTTTGTTTTTGGGATGAGCTGTCCAAAAGTATGTCATTCACTTAAATCTGCTGTTTGGTTGCAGGAGAAGAACTGACATCTGGAAATGGCGACAAAAACACAGAAGAGACTTTGGAGAGCCAGTGAGTGAACAGTTTGAGAACTATCAGGGCACAATTTCAAAGTGAATGTGGAGTGTGTTTTCATACTTTTCTCATACTTACGTGTATTTTATTTTTTTCATTTTTCCCACATCAAGGCAAGACAATAATGTGGACTCTACATCTTGCCTCAAAGACGCTGCAAAAACTGAGGACCCTAAGCAAGGTAATTAATACGTAATGCGCTGGAAGAACATCCCCCAGGCACTCAATCAAAGACTTCAAAGACAGAAAAAAGGCTTTAAAAAGGGGCCATTTTACATTTAAAATCTTGGTGTAATTTTCTTTACAGAGGGTGGCGGTTCAGGAGAGGAGAGCGACGTCCTGAGCATAAACGCAGACACTTACGATAGCGACATAGAAGGGCCCAAAGAGGAGCAGACTGTTAAAGCTGTGGACGGAGCGGTGAAAGTAGCGGACAGCAGCAGGGAAGGCGCTGACCCAGTTGTAAACCCTGACCCAGTGAAACCTAAACCTCCCACGGGCTCTCAACCAGCGGAAGGTGGAAAGAAAGACATCCAAAGCGACATAGACAAAAGCGTCAGTGAGATTTTAGCGTTTTCGTCCTCTTCAAGCAAAGAGGAAGCTAAGGAACAGAGTGCACCTCCGCCGTGCACGGATGTTAGTTTACCTGTTCAAGGCGCACCTGTTTTGGGGCGCGCGCCTGCAGCGTGTCGGCCGTCGATTCAGCAACTGGAGCTTCTGGAGCTGGAAATGAGGGCGAGGGCCATAAAGGCTCTGATGAAAGCAAGTGATGGGAAAAAGCAGAGCGTGACAAAAAATGTGTAGCATGTTTTGTGTGTTGTTGGTTGAATGATACATGAAATCATGTGGTTCTATTACTCCATATTGGAATGATGTTACTTGGGAAGTTAAACACACCAAGGCTTGTCCTACACCTACTGAATGAATGTGTCCTGGTATGATACACATAATGGAGTTTCCAGCTGTATTTTTGTCTATGGCCACTAGATGGCAGTGTTCACCTGCCACAGTACACTCATGGTAATGTGTCCAATATGAGCAGAAGAGAGCAGGAGATGATTTATCTACTCATATAACAGTCAGAATGGTCACAACAGCTTGAAAGTCAAGTTTCCCTCAATGATGTTTTTCAGTTATACAGTTGGGGTAAAAATTTGTCAATTTCGAGTGTGAGAATATTGGTTGTTAAGTACGTAGGCCGAGCTTTGCCAGGCAAAGTAGGTGGCGGCAGTGTTGTGCTGTCATTTACAGTCGACACACCTGCGATATTTCTTCACCAAACACCTGTTTGACTTGTCAGGCTGAAGTGTGCACTGGCATCTCTCTCATACTTGCATCTTCTAAATGTTAAGGCTGGTTTGTTACAACAGGTTAGGCAGAGACAACAAAAAATACAGCTCCCATGGCATTACAGACGAAATACAGAGGAACCCAAAACTGAAATAAATCAAAGATAATTAGACCAGCTGTCCTCAACCGATACATCAAGTTAAAGAACCCGCCACTGCTATCCTCTGGAGGAACTTTAAAATTTTGTCTTTCTGTGCGTCTATGTAGCGGCTGGAATTAATAGCATCTCTCGCCTAATGTAGTGTTTTTGCTGTAATTTATTCCGAAGCTGCTTTGTTCCTGTATGTGTGCAATTACATGCAGATGCAGAGCAAAACAGCTCGCAACCCCACTACCCCAAAGGAGACAATGAAACGTATGATAAGAAGCCAGTTGCCTCCTGGGTATTTGCATTTAAAAGGGTTATTTCATGGGAGGAAAGAGGGTGGAGAGCGTTAAATGTGTCTTTTTCTATGCATGCGTGTGCAGGTATCTTTGTACTCATTGATGATTTGAAGAGGAAATCGTCCACTTTAGTAAAAAGGGATACATGATTCTAAAGTGCTGGTAGTGTCTATGATTGGTGAGTATTTATCTGTGTCATTTTACTGCTATTAGAATGCCAATTATGATTTGGTATGAGCAGAAAAATGGCTTTTTAAGCAGGCATCAAAATGAGTGGGCTGAAAAATGGATTGATGGAGTTGAGATGATGCTGTTTTTGTTGAGGGAGTACTTTTTGATTTCAAATGAACCTCTTGATCCATGTTAAAATATTGAGGTATGACGCTGCCATGAATGGTGCTATTATGAAAGTCAAAAAGAAGGTTATGCAAAAAGTTTCTGTGTTCTCTGATTCATCCGTTTAATAGCTGCACCTGTCATTTTCCTCAGTGTTGTGACCAAGCCTCTGGTAAGTGATACTCATTACACAATAGTCCCCAAAACTTGTAGGGTGGTTTATACCCTCAACTTTATGTTTAACTTTCTCTATGTGACTATTGCACAAAATTAAAGAGAATTTAGGCCCCTGCGAAGTCAAGTTTTCTCGAGGGACTCTCTAAAATGTACCATGGGAAGACGTGGTGCAAAGTCCAATATAAAAAAAATTAGAACTGATTGACTGTACCTTAAGTTCACTTTGTAATGTATGTACACTCATATAGGTGTTCTACATTTGGGTAGTTGTTGTAGTTGTTGTATCTCTCCTAAAAAAACCCAAACAGTTCAGACAAATACAAAATGGAAAGTGGAATTTCTTGCTTTATCAATGGGGTTGGGACCATCAGTTGTGTTGTGCAGAAGTCAGGTTAATACACAGCCGACAGCCCTATTGGACAACTGTTAAAATTCATATTATGGCAAGAACCAATCAGCTAACTAAAGAAAAACGAGTGGCCATCATTACTTTAAGAAATGAAGGTCAGTCAGTCCAGAAAATTGCAAAAACTTTAAATGTGTCCCCAAGTGGAGTCGCAAAAACCATCAAGCGCTACAACGAAACTGGCACACATGAGGACCGACCCAGGAAAGGAAGACCAAGAGTCACCTCTGCTTCTGAGGATAAGTTCATCCGAGTCACCAGCCTCAGAAATGGCAAGTTAACAGCAGCTCAGATCAGAGACCAGATGAATGCCACACAGAGTTCTAGCAGCAGACCCATCTCTAGAACAACTGTTAAGAGGAGACTGCGCCAATCAGGCCTTCATGGTCAAATAGCTGCTAGGAAACCACTGCTAAGGAGAGGCAACAAGCAGAAGAGATTTGTTTGGGCCAAGAAACACAAGGAATGGACATTAGACCAGTGGAAATCTGTGCTTTGGTCTGATGAGTCCAAATTTGAGATCTTTGGTTCCAACAGCCGTGTCTTTGTGAGACGCAGAAAAGGTGAACGGATGGATTCCACATGCCTGGTTCCCACTGTGAAGCATGGAGGAGGAGGTGTGATGGTGTGGGGGTGTTTTGCTGGTGACACTGTTGGGGATTTATTCAAAATTGAAGGCACACTGAACCAGCATGGCTACCACAGCATCCTGCAGCGACATGCCATCCCATCCGGTTTGCGTTTAGTTGGACGATCATTTATTTTTCAACAGGACAATGACCCCAAACACACCTCCAGGCTGCGTAAGGGCTATTTGACCAAGAAGGAGAGTGATGGAGTGCTGCGGCAGATGACCTGGCCTCCACAGTCACCGGACCTGAACCCAATCCAGATGGTTTGGGGTGAGCTGGACCGCAGAGTGAAGGCAAAGGGGCCAACAAGTGCTAAACACCTCTGGGAACTCCTTCAAGACTGTTGGAAAACCATTTCAGGTGACTACCTCTTGAAGCTCATGGAGAGAATGCCAAGAGTGTGCAAAGCAGTAATCAGAGCAAAGGGTGGCTATTTTGAAGAAACTAGGATATAAAACATGTTTTCAGTTATTTCACCTTTTTTTATTAAGTACAAAACACACATGTGTTCATACATAGTTTTGATGCCTTCAGTGAGAATCTACAATGTAAATAGTCATGAAAATAAAGAAAAAGCATTGAATGAGAAGGTGTGTCCAAACTTTTGGCCTGTACTGTACATTCAGTTATTGACATTTTGAATTACATGCTACCTTTTGCATCCTGGCATGCTAATTTTAGCTTAAATGTACTTCAGTCAACATTACTGCTGTTTTAGTGTAGTAATGTTGCATGCTGAGTAATGATAGCATTCCCATACAAAGTTAACAGTTACGTGCTAACTGTAGTATCCTGGATTTTAACAATTAGATCTAAATCTTAATCCTGGTTACTTGATTTTAACATTAAGAATTACTTGCCAAATATAGTATCCTGGTACCCTGATTTTAACATCTAAACAATAACTGTAGTGTCCTAGCACATGGATTTTAACATTTAGAATTACATGCTAATCACAACAACTTTATTTTAACATTTACAATCATAAGCAAATGCTGGTGTCCTGTCACCTTGATTTTAGCATTTAGAATGACATGCTAACTGTAGTATCCTGGTACTTGGATTTTAACATTTAGAATTACATGCTAACTCATGGCACCTTGCCTTGACATTTAGAATCAGAAGCAAACTGTAGTATCCTGGCAACTTGCTTTTAACATTTAGAATTACATGCTAATCCTAGCATCTGGATTTTACCACTAATTGTAGTATCCTGGTACTTGGATTTTAACATCTACCTTTACATGCTAACTCCTGGTACCTTGACTTTTAACATTTAGAATCACAAACAAACTTTAGTATCCTGGCAACTTGATTTTAACGTTTAGAATTACACTGTAACTTATCCTAGCACCTTCATTGTCACATTTTAAATTACATGTTAACTGTAGTATCCTGGCACCTTGATTTTGATATTTAACATTTAAAAGTACATTTTAACTGTTGTATTCTGGTGCTTGGATTTTAACATTTAGAATTACATGCCAACTCCTGGTACCTTGACTTTAATATTTGGAATCACAAGCAAACTGTGGTATCCTGGTACTTTGAGTTTCACATTTAAAATTGCATGTTAACTGTAGTAGCTTGACACCTTTATTTTCACATTTACAATGACATGCTAACTCATACAGCTGGGGTTTGATCCAGTACCAGTGTGCTGGAATATACAGTACAGGCCAAAAGTTTGGACACACCTTCTCATTCAATGCGTTTTCTTTATTTTCATGACTATTTACATTGTAGATTCTCACTGAAGGCATCAAAACTATGAATGAACACATGTGGAGTTATGTACTTAACAAAAAAAGGTGAAATAACTGAAAACATGTTTTATATTCTAGTTTCTTCAAAATAGCCACCCTTTGCTCTGATTACTGCTTTGCACACTCTTGGCATTCTCTCCATGAGCTTCAAGAGGTAGTCACCTGAAATGGTTTTCCAACAGTCTTGAAGGAGTTCCCAGAGGTGTTTAGCACTTGTTGGCCCCTTTGCCTTCACTCTGCGGTCCAGCTCACCCCAAACCATCTCGATTGGGTTCAGGTCCGGTGACTGTGGAGGCCAGGTCATCTGCCGCAGCACTCCATCACTCTCCTTCTTGGTCAAATAGCCCTTACACAGCCTGGAGGTGTGTTTGGGGTCATTGTCCTGTTGAAAAATAAATGATCGTCCAACTAAACGCAAACCGGATGGGATGGCATGTCGCTGCAGGATGCTGTGGTAGCCATGCTGGTTCAGTGTGCCTTCAATTTTGAATAAATCCCCAACAGTGTCACCAGCAAAACACCCCCACACCATCACACCTCCTCCTCCATGCTTCACAGTGGGAACCAGGCATGTGGAATCCATCCGTTCACCTTTTCTGCGTCTCACAAAGACACGGCGGTTGGAACCAAAGATCTCAAATTTGGACTCATCAGACCAAAGCACAGATTTCCACTGGTCTAATGTCCATTCCTTGTGTTTCTTGGCCCAAACAAATCTCTTCTGCTTGTTGCCTCTCCTTAGCAGTGGTTTCCTAGCAGCTATTTGACCATGAAGGCCTGATTGGCGCAGTCTCCTCTTAACAGTTGTTCTAGAGATGGGTCTGCTGCTAGAACTCTGTGTGGCATTCATCTGGTCTCTGATCTGAGCTGCTGTTAACTTGCGATTTCTGAGGCTGGTGACTCGGATGAACTTATCCTCAGAAGCAGAGGTGACTCTTGGTCTTCCTTTCCTGGGTCGGTCCTCATGTGTGCCAGTTTCGTTGTAGCGCTTGATGGTTTTTGCGACTCCACTTGGGGACACATTTAAAGTTTTTGCAATTTTCCGGACTGACTGACCTTCATTTCTTAAAGTAATGATGGCCACTCGTTTTTCTTTAGTTAGCTGATTGGTTCTTGCCATAATATGAATTTTAACAGTTGTCCAATAGGGCTGTCGGCTGTGTATTAACCTGACTTCTGCACAACACAACTGATGGTCCCAACCCCATTGATAAAGCAAGAAATTCCACTAATTAACCCTGATAAGGCACACCTGTGAAGTGGAAACCATTTCAGGTGACTACCTCTTGAAGCTCATGGAGAGAATGCCAAGAGTGTGCAAAGCAGTAATCAGAGCAAAGGGTGGCTATTTTGAAGAAACTAGAATATAAAACATGTTTTCAGTTATTTCACCTTTTTTTGTTAAGTACATAGCTCCACATGTGTTCATTCATAGTTTTGATGCCTTCAGTGAGAATCTGCAATGTAAATAGTCATGAAAATAAAGAAAACGCATTGAATGAGAAGGTGTGTCCAAACTTTTGGCCTGTACTGTAAGTACAGCTGAGGGCAGGGTTAGGGCATCATTATTTATTTATTTTTGCCAAAATAGTGGTAAGGTTCAATAACAAAACTGTCTTTCTCATTCTTTTTAATCCAACAATTTAGTTTTGTGTGTGCTCTGAGCATTACAGCCTTGAGCCCAGGTAGGAACACTTCACTGTTTTTGCTGTCGCTAAGGCAAAAATAGGCTCACCACTTCCCTCCCCAGTGTTTGTTTTGGTGCACATTTCTACTGTTTTGATATTTCCAATGTTTTTTATTTGTTATTTTTCAGAGCACATTTTCATTCTTTTTTTGTGTGCTTTCACTGTTGTGTTTTAGTGTTCGCAGTATTTTCAGATTTGGGGCACATTTGTCTTAATGTTAGTGCTTTCAGTGTGTTTTGTTCCTCAGTAGCCACTGGGGATTGTAGAAGTAGCACTGGAAACATAAGTATGTTTGTGAAAAAGAGGACCTGTCAGTCCAATGCAAAACTCTAGATGTTACTGTGGCACCGCAGAAAAACCGCAAGGACAAAAAAGGGATGAAAAATGTTGATGTCACTTTTTTAAGAACACATCCTGTTTGCATAAATAA